ACACACAACACCTGTACAAACAACACATATACACACATTACGTTCGTACACACGTAACACATATACACAACATCCACACAAACAACACCCACACACATTACACTTGTATACACATAACACACATAACTCATGTACAAACACAACACATGTACACACACAACACATGAATACACAACACGCGCACAAACAACACATACAGACATTGCATTTGCACACACACAACACATACACACAGCACATGTACACACATAAAGCATACACATGAAACATACACACATTAAGGCACACGCTTAATGCACAAACACAACACACACAGCATATGTACACACATAACATGTTCACACAAATAACATAAATACACACATGTACACACAACACACATGTAGACACATAACAGGAACACATACAATGCATGAACACACTCAATATTCATATACCACATGTACATACAGCACATACACACAGATACACATAACACACAAACAAACAACACATGTACACACAACATACATAGACACATCACACACACACCCATAACATATCCACACTCACAGCACACATACACATGCAACATACACATATGACACAAGTACACACAGCGTATGTACACACATAACACACAAACACACATGCACACACATACCAGACACTCACATAATACACAGACACACATAACACACATACATGCAGTGCATGCACACACATAAGACAGGCACACGCAGTACATGTACATGTTACACACATGCACACATGCCATGTACACCCCAACACGTGTACTCACATAGGACACACACCCTTTGCTCAGGATGACTATGTAAGCGAGCTGTGCTCACGCTCTGGGCCCAGAGCACTGCGTTCCCGCCACGCCGTTTGCTGGGGTGAGATTTGCTTTTGGAAGTGCAGCTCCCACGAGCCCACGAGAAAGAGGAGCAGCTGCTCACCCAGTTCCTTCCAGGAGGCAAACAGGCACCGTGACGTGTGGGTCCGTCGGTGCTGCCGGCTTCGATGTACGTAGTATAAAAGACAAGCTTTTATTTGTAGTCTTTGATAAAGGGTTCAAGGTCGGTGAGAACAAAGGAGGCACTGCTGTCTGGCTCCTGAGTTCCCGAGCTGCCTTCACCCATCCAGTTAACTAGTTTCAACTTTAATACGATGCTATCACAGGGCCTGAGTCTGAAAAATACAGACCTGGAGCTTCACATCGCCAGCTCGAGACTCCAGACCCGCTAAACATGCCGCTGGCTTTGGGTGTGTGAGGGCCCCACACGTCGGCCCGGCCCTAGGCTCCACCCCGGTAGGACGGCCACCCCACAGACTGCCCCCTGACATGCAGCGACAGGGCTGGCCACTCTCTGCCATCTGCATGCTTTATAGCAACCGGCCGGGGAAGGAGCGATTTAGAGGCGAGGACAAAGCTGCCAGACGCCTGCAGAGGGGACAACTGAGTGGTCACTTGTGTGGCACTCTGAGGGCTGAGCCCAGCTTCCACCTGAGAGGCCGCTTCCGTGTTGACCGTGAGAGTTTCCTCCTCAGCAGAGCTTACACACAGGACAGCAAATACAGAACCCACTGCTGGAGTTTCACCACTCGGGACGCTGCCTCTGTCCCACTTCGCAGTACTGTTCCCATGTCTGGATCAGCAGGAGCAGGAGTCTCCACAGCAGATGGCATAGTGACTGTGTCGCTGGATTCCCACATGGCTGACCACAGTTCAAGTTCCGGACCTGGAGGCTTGAGAATCACACGGGCCCATGTGTGTGGTGCCCAAGATTCTGGGAAGAGAATGGAGGAAAAGGGATTGCAGTATGACCGTCTCCCCTGGGGATGACTTCTCACTTTCCCTCTCACTGTGTCTGATTCTCTGCTCTCTGGCAAGTGCATGTGCCCTAAGGTAAAAATGCCTAAAAGTAAACAAATAAATAAATAAAATGCAGAAGAGGAATTTTGAGCATGTGGGAGGCAGCTGCCTTCTGTCTGGCCTTCTGGGGCTTTTGGAGAAGTCCAGAGGACCCTGTCTCATGGGGGAGGCCCAGGACAAGCCTCCATTGGGACTTCCTGAGTTTCGTTCCTCTTCTTGCCCTCTCTGAGAAGCCGTCCCTGCTTCCCGCGCCCCTCCACGGCCCTCGCTAGCCCTGTTCTTTGGTGTCTCTGGCTGATAAAGCTCCCAGGCTCCTCGGTTCTTTCTAGAAGTCCCTTGGAAAGCACAGTTGACATGAGGCCACGTCCTAATATTAGCAAGTGCTAGGTTCCCACCCGGTTCCTTAGTTTTCCTCACACATGTAGCTACATTCTGGCAATGTGCCATTGTTACAAAATTTACCGGCTCCTAGGGGAGCTGAGCTTCACACCCAAGGCCTTCAACTCCAGAGTGCCCCTCTTAGCCTGCCGTGCCTGAGTGTTTTCCTGTGCGGCTCTGCCTCACCGAGAGGGCTCCCGCGACCACGTCTGAGCTCGCAGTGCCTCGTGTGGCACCACGGCCCTGGAGAAACCCAGTGGAGATCCCCAGAAGCCTGGAGGGCAGACCTGGCCCCCATGATAATGCTGGGCCGCAGTCTCTTGGACATTCCAGAGGCCTGGGGCTAAGATGCTGCTGCCCCACAGCCAGGGCAGACCCTGGCCCAGACCAGAGGGAGGGAACTTGCCAGGCCCCGGTACCAGGTTCGATCCCTCAGAGCGAGCCTATTTCTGCTTCTGTGGAGTCACTTCAGGACTTGTTCTGGCCGTGGCTTTCCTGGTTATCCATCACCGCTGTGCGAGAAACCATTGAGAAATCTCTCCCTTGTCATTCAAGTGCACTGTTATTTCCAAACTCCAGAGGAAGGGAAGGAAAGAAGGGAAACAGAGACACCCTGGGCTCAGAATTGAACTCTTCCTCTGCAACTGGAAACAAGCGTGTCATTTATGTTGAAACTTCAGCCGGCTTAGCTCACAAAACACCATCTATCAAAATTCCTCGCTTGCAGAGTCGCTCTGCCAGACTCAATTATGGAGTTAATTCGGCCTTAACTGGAAGCAGAGGTTTTGCTTCATTTCCTCTCCAGAATCTCCGGGGATGCCTTTGATGCGGTTCCAGCGTGTCCAAGCTCAAGCCAGTTCAGCTGGAAGCAACGGGCACAGTCTGGCCCATCTTCTGTGAATGCACACGTTCACCCATGGGCACTGATGCAGTTGCATGTACAATACACACTCACGCATATGCCCACTCTGTGGGCACACTCGGTATGCACACACACATGCACACACTCACTCGTAGGCAATAATAAACTCACATGCACATCAGGCTCACACACATGCATGTATGCATGTACATGTGCATGGACACACAGAGTCCAGTTATCTGTCAAACATTCGGTAGGCGTTTTCTTGTTAAGATTTTTGACATAGAGTGTGTGTGTTTGCTGGAGAGAGAGGGGGAACGTGAGAGGGAATGTGAGAAATCACCCCAGGAGGGATGGCCAGGCCATAATCCCTTCTCCTCCATTCCCCTCTTGGGATTTTGGGCATGCACGCACACGCACCTGGTGTGATTTTCAAGTCACCAGGTCCAGGACTCAGACTGCATTCAGCTTTGTGGGAGTCCAAGGCCCCAACCACTGTCCGAACACCTCCTGGCCCCGGTAGGCATATCTTTAAGAAGTGGCTTTTTTTTTTTTCCTTCAGGATTTGGAAGCCATCAACGCTTACTTCTTAGCATTTCTTTTCTTCCTTAAAAGTTGTTTTCTTAGTCTGCCACCTCCCCCTTCCTTATTGCAAAAGTCCCATTTGGCGAACAGGAACTGACAAGGACAGAACGCGGTGTCTCTGGTGAACCCTAGCACAGAGCTCTGTTACGACACTGCTGCCGTCGTCATCGCTTCCGCACACCCGGACGGTGCCCGCCAGGCCCCACGTGCAGCCCCACTGTGGTTTCAGCTGCTCGCGCTGAGAGTGCCGAGGGCATCGTGCAGCTACTCAGACGCCTATAGAGAGGTGCGTTTCATAGACGGGGAACTCTGACTGCACCACCATTTGCAGAGGTTTTAGCTTTTCTTATTCAACCAGGTATAGTAGGTAAAGGTATAAAATTATCTTGTTCACAGGAAAAATGATTGAATGTCATTACTTTTATGTTTCTTCTCGCTAGAGCTGAGCTTACATGACTGAACATTTCAGAAAGAAGAATCTAAATTTTAATAGTTTTATAAGAATTCTGACTACTCGCTCAAGACAAAGCAGAAAACTAAAATAAATGCATATGATTTCTGTGGCACAGGGCCTCACGTGTTACCCAGGCTGGTTTCAAACTCACCACCCTCTCGCCTCAGCTCCTCCGTAGCTGGGGTTACAGTGTGCACCACCACACACCCTGTTGATTTCAAATACGTTAAGTTAATGAGCTAAACAAGAATATGTAATTTATTCACTTTCTAAGTGCAGACATGTTCAGTAACAAGCCTTTGTATATGGCACAGACGAACATGTGCTTTGGCAGAAAAGAACAAAAATGCAAGATGCAAGCTGAGCAGATCTTTAGGAAAATGGTGTCTATTCGATTGCATTAAGTTCTTGGCTATTAATGGAAAGAAACACAACGTGATCACACAAAATAAACACAGTCCTGACCGAGAAAAGCCTCGTGCAAGTGACATGCAGTACCGGGTTGTCAGGAAAGTCGTGGTGCAATTTTGCATAGAAAAATACACCCTGACTTTCTCAGTGACCTAAGATCATCACCGAAGACCCAGGAAGACTCACTAGGAACCAGAGGCCCGGCAGCTGAGGCCTAGCAGTAGCTGGAGTGCCCTGCGAGGCTCTGGATCCTCAAGTGGGCCTGAGAATGTGCTGTGCACACAGGCACCCGAGATCCTGGGGCGCTGGAGGGTGATAGAGAGAGGACTGTGGGGTGACAAGACCTTGTCAAGGGTGCTTCTCTCTCTCTCTCATGCATGTATGTGTTTTCTAGCAAAAAAAAAAGGAACCAGAGAAGGAGCAGATGCATGTGGCTGCAATGTAATGGGGCAGTTTGGTCTGTGTCAGGTGAAGATGAGTCATTCTGATTTCAAACATAGCGCCCAGACCCAGACCTGAGACTTGGTTGCTCTGGGTTGGGTCCCTTGTGGAATGAGCACTCCACAGGGACCCTGAAGGACAGAGGGACACCAACACCAACTTTCTAGGACAGCAGTGAACAAAACCCTGGATTCCAGTGTCCGTAACTGTTTTCAAGGAGAAAAATGGAGGCAAGACATTTGAGGGACACAGAAATGGAGGATTGTCTGTTGATGGTAACATGTATAATATCTTTTTTTCTTTTTCTTTTTCTTGGAGAGGTTTTTGCTGTAGGGCACGTGCGCTCGCCAGACACAGAGAGAGACAGAGAGACAGAAAGCGAGAAATCCCCCCCCAGGGGGGATGACCACACCGCAATTCTTTCTCCTCTGTTCTCCTCTTGGGATCTTGGGCACGCGCGCACATGCACCCGGAGTGAGTTTTAAGCCACCGGGTTCGGGACTCGAACCGGGGTCGACTACACGGGAGTCCAGCAACTTAGCCATTACACTAACTGCTGGTCCCCGACATGTATATTATCTTCAACTGGACTGGTTGGAAGCGTGTTCATGTTGGGTAATTTATTTCATAAGCTGTAGTGATGTGCAGTAAGTGAAAGTATAAAATAAAAATATTAAAAAAAAAGAAATAAAATCTCCAGGATTCACCTTAGTCCGAAGCTCATTTCCAGGAAGAAAGTGAATTTGTCACTTGGCTAGGCAGGTCCCTTTGTGACAGTTATTCTGGTCACTGCAATCCCATGCTCGAGGGTTCCAGGCAGGGAGTTAGCCATCACGTGTCTGAGCGCTTGCCTTTGGGATCCTTCTTCATTGCCTGACCTCGGGTGAGTTACGTAACCTGCGAGTCAGTTTCCTCTTGCGTAAAGCCGGGTAATAACAATCTCTTTTTCATGGACCCGATGCGGTCCCATTAGAAAAATCTGTGTAGGTTTTGTCCTTTGCTTGTCACATACTGAATACTCCATCAACGGTTCCTGGGAAATCCTACTGGCTGCTGAATTTCTTTCCTTACTGAGACTTTTAACCCTTAATCTCCGGTCTTCGGCAGAAAGGAACCACTTCATTTCCTACTCGGGAGAGAAATCTATGCCTGCGACGGATGGCAGGAAATACAAGTCAGGCAGTGACATTCTCTCCCAAGACTCCAATTTCCTCCTTGAGAATGTCTGTTGCCGTTGCTGACTCCCAGCTGGCTGTTACGGGGGTGCTCTCAAAGGCGGAGGTCGTCCCAGGGGCACCCGGGCATTCAGGACATGCTCGCTCTGCCTCTCTCTCTCTCTCTCCCTTCCTTTCCCTCTCAGCAACTTCCTCTCTCTTCCTCCCTGTCTCTTCCTCCCTGTCTCTCTCTCCCTTTCTCTCTCTCTCCCTCTCTCTTCTTTCCTCTCTCTCCCTCCCTCTCTCTCTCCCTCCCTCTCTCTCTCTCCCTTCCTCTCTTCCTGTCTCCCTCTCCCTCTCTTTCCCTCCCTTTCTCTTCCTCCCCACTCTCTCTCCCTTCCTCTTCCTCCCTCTCTCTTCCTTCCTGTCTCTCTCTCCCTTTCTCTCTCTCTGTCTCTCTCTCTCTCACACACACACACGCACTGTGAATGCCAGAGTTATCTTTTCCAGAGGATCTGAGTGGGGTCCCCAATCTACTCTGTCGCTTTTCCTAGGAGGAAGACTTCCTAATGAGGTCACACATTGGGCCACCATCGTCTCCCTCTCAGTACCACAAATGATGGATGAAGGGGATGCTCAATATTATTATCCTACTTCAATTTGCAGGTGAGGAAAGTGAGGCCGACTTTTATTAATTATGTATAAGTGTATCTGCTATTTCCTCTTACGTTGCAGAGTCTAAGTTTGCAGTCTGAGTCTCCCCGCAATAGGGCCTGTAGGCAGCTCCCCCACGCCGGTCATTGCAGCTCTCGCCTCTGCCTCCCCGGCCACCCCAGCCGCTCCTCTAACTCCGTAGGCAGAGAAGGCTAGGGGCCTCTCCCCAC